TTTGGAAACAATAGATTCTTAAATCAAAATGTGATAGTAGTACCAATAACAACAAAATAATAATAGCTGCTTTGGGATAAGGGGAATATAAAAAGCTACTACTTTCTTCCATTTTCTTTATTTATAAAAATAGAAAACAATATCAAATATCATTAAAAATGAGTGAATGAAAGGTAAGGAAGTGGTGACTATAAACAACTTTTGAAGTTTGGCTATGAAGAGGGAATTTAGACACTAGTCTTAGAGAAACAACCAGAGGACATTATAATGCTGGTATATAGAGCATATTTTTGGCTGATATGAATGATCTATTTAAGAATGAAACTTTGGGGTGCCTGGGTGGCTCAGTCGGTTGAGCATCCGACTTCGGCTCAGGTCATGATCTCACAGCTTGTCAGTTCAAGCCCCGTGTCAGGCTCTGTGCTGACAGCTCGGAGCCTGGAGCCTGCTTCAGATTCTGTGCCTCCCTCTCTCTCTACCCCAACCCACTTGCATTCTGTCTCTGTCTCTCTCAAAAATAAACATTAAAAAAACAAAACAAAAAAAGAATGAAACCTTCATGATGCAAGAGGGTAAGTCAGTCAATTATTTAAAAGTTTGTCAGTATAGGGAACTCCTAATCCTCTCAAATTTGATAAAATTAAAGCATAGTTAAAATGAAGACATTATGACTACAAGCTGGAATAGCACACTAGGTTTTTTTCCAAGTCTCTAAAACATTTCAGGAAAAAAAAAAAAAAAGGAAATTAGCTGAAAGAAAAAAAAATGCAGGAATATTTCTGGTATAATTCTTTTCACAAGGAAAAATATAATGTAGTCGTCAGTGTAAAATACATGGATATCATGAGACCAAAGGAGATAATTTGATACAATTTTATTTTCTTTAGTTTCTGTGAGGAAACTAAAACTTTTTTTCTTTTTTAAAGTTTATTTATTTTTGAAAGAGAGAGAGAGAGAGAAAGAGAGAATGAGCAAGCTGAGGAGGGGCAGAGACATAAGGAGAGAGAAGTCCAAGCAGGCTCTGTGCTGTGAGCATGGAGCCTGATGAGTGGCTCGAACATATAAATTGTGAGATTACGACCAGAGCTGAAATCAAGAGTTGGACACTTAACCAACTGAGTCAACCAGGCACCCCTTAAAAATATTTTTCCTTGGGGCGCCTGGGTGGCGCAGTCGGTTGAGCGTCCGACTTCAGCCAGGTCACGATCTCGTGGTCCGGGAGTTCGAGCCCCGCGTCAGGCTCTGGGCTGATGGCTCAGAGCCTGGAGCCTGTTTCTGATTCTGTGTCTCCCTCTCTCTCTGCCCCTCCCCCGTTCATGCTCTGTCTCTCTCTGTCCCAAAAATAAATAAACGTTGAAAAAAAAAATTAAAAAAAAATATTTTTCCTTGATGGAAGTTAAAAAGTTATTCTTTCAAGTTTCTTATTTATAGAAAGGGGTATGGGTCTACTAAACTACTTTAGAACTTATAAATACATGAGGGCAGAAGTATGGATAAAGTTATAGTTACTATAGTTCTTCCTTGATGCAAAACTCTACATATCTATTTTGTTGTACTTTTAAGACAACCTCAAAATTACAATTCTAATTTATATTAATTTGCAAATTATTTAATAGCAGTTAAACAAAGAATCTTGATAGATGTTACCACTATTCACCAAAATATGGTCCTTCTGTATTTCTGGGCATTGGAGAAAATTGCATTTCCCTATCCCCTTGAATTAAATACTGATCATGTGATTTGTTTTGGCCAATCTAATGTGAAGAGAGTGAGGCATCTTATGTTGGAAGTCAGTAATAGATTTTTCAGTTCAACTCCTCCTTGCTTCATTGTTTGTGAAAACATATGCTGATGTGAAGGTGCCATAATTTCAAGAGCAGCCTGGAATTCTGAGTAATTATAAGGGCAGATGCTCTGAGATGTTTTCTTACATCCTCAGTGATGTGTGAGCAAAAATAAATATTGAGTAGCCAATGAAAAATTAGGATTGCTATTACCACAGCATACCTTAGACCTTGTTGAAAGACTTAAGAAGCTAAAGTAGAAAGTAGAGCAGGAGAATTAAACCCCAGGAGAATTAAAAGAAGCTGGGTAGAAAAGCCAAATCTTCTGGGTGCCTGGGTGGCTCATTTGGGTAAGCAACTGACTTCAGCTCAGGTCATGATCTCATGGTTGATGAGTTCAAGCCCTGTGGTGGGTTCTGTGCTTACAGCTCGGAGTCTGGAGTCTGCTTCAGATTCTGTGTCTCCCTCTCTCTCTACCCTTCCTCCACTCATGCTCTCTCTCTCTCTCAAAAAAAGTAAACAACAGCAACAACAACAACAAAAAAAAAAAAAAAAAAAAAAAGAAGAAAGAAAGAAAGAAAGAAAGAAAGAAAGAAAAAAGAAAAGCCAAATCTTCAAACTAGTCTTAGGAATGAAGTCTTAGGAAGAGTCTTAGGAAGTAAGGAGTGCTATGTGTAAGAAGCAATAGAAAATATTATGGCATGGTATATAGTTCAAACTATTTATTTCTCCTAGAACTATGTATGAATGTTATTTAGTTATCTTTATTAATATATTTTTTGTTTATTAGTACCTTATTGAAATTTCATTTCATTTTTTTTTCTACTTTAAAAGGCTTTGTGGCTCTGAGACCAGAAGAGCTAAGTCTAGGATTTTGAGCTCTAATTTCAGAAAACAGAATAAGACTGAAATAAAGTTTCACTATGCATATTTTTTAAAAAAAGAAAACTTCTAGCATTTTATTACTGCTCTATGGTGAGATTATCTTGTAAAGTTTACAGCGAGTAAACATAGGTAATTAAACATTAAATAGTTGACTCTGATATTCATAGTTTAAGAAAATGTAACACATCATTGATCTTGTACTTATGTCTTTGTCATTTTATTTTAGGGACTTGGGTCTATTTTACGAAAATACTCCTAAAAAAGTCTTAAGACTCACAACTGAAATTATTCCCGCCAAATAATTTCAGAAACCTATTCCTTATGGTTGGGAAGGCACTCCTGCATATATTAATGAGAAAAGATTATTTTTCAGTGAATTCCAGGAATATTGTTTTAAAATTTTCATACTCTGCCTTTCCTGTTTCCCTTCTTACTGACTTTTAATATTAGAACAAACAACAATATTGGTTTTATTTCAAAGGCCAAATTACAGAAAACAATAAACTGGCTAAAAGTAAGACAGAACTATTATATAAAATCAAACAAGAAACTAAAACTCAAAAATTCAAATTACCACTTTGTCCTTACTTTGGCTTGCTTGTGGGAATTTATTGAAGAAGTCTTTTAAACTTCATCAAAAATCCCTCATGCCAGTTAATGATAGAATGGGGGAAGAAGAGGTTTTGCTATGTTTAAATTCCATTAGAGCATTGTGGGTTTTCACTTCCTAAGTGGATTATTTAACTTCCGAAGAAAATCCTTTGAGGTCTAAGCTTATTTGCTTTTAGGAAAAATATGGCTTCGGTCACTTAGGAAAAAAAAAAAAAAAAAAGACAACAGTAATCTTTAAAAATATATACTTAGAAAATATTTCCCTATCATGAATATGTAGCTGAAATTCATTTTTAAATTAAATTGTTAGTTATAATGCATAAATTTAAATTTTCAATTAGAAATCAGCTAAACTGAGCATCAATCAGTTGCAATTTTTTTTCTTCATTTCACTTAAAGAAGGAAGCATTAAATAAGAACGAATAGCTCATAATGGTAATAAGGTAAAATAATAAAAAATATACTATGAGTTACTTCAAACCTTATGATACAGTTATTATCCAAATTGTTGTGCTAGATTTTTATAAAATATGGATTCAATTCTAGAGCCTCAGGCAAGATAAAATTTGCATTTGCTTGGCCTATATATAGGCCATTGATAAATACATTAGATAAATCCAAGATTATATGAGATAAAATGCATAGAAGTATTTTTGATACATTTATACCAATTGTATCAATCATGTATATTCAAATATCGCAAAACCAATGCTTTTCTTAAGAACTACATCCTTATGGGGCACCTGGGAGGCTCAGTTGGACTTTGGCTCAGGTGTGGGTTCAAGCCCGGCACGGTGCTCTGTGCAGATGAGCTCAGAGCCTGGAGCCTGCTTGGGATTCTGTCTCCTGCTGTTTCTGCCCTTACCCCGCTCGTGCTGTGTCTCTGTCTCTCAAAAATAAATAAACATTAAAAAAAAAGAATGAGGGGCGCCTGGGTGGCACAGTTGGTTAAGCGTCCGACTTCAGCCAGGTCACGATCTTGCGGTCCATGAGTTCGAGCCCCGCGTCAGGCTCTGGGCTGATGGCTCAGAGCCTGGAGCCTGCTTCCCATTCTGTGTCTCCCTCTCTCTCTGCCCCTCCCCCGTTCATGCTCTGTCTCTCTCTGTCCCAAAAATAAATAAATGTTGAAAAAAAAATTAAAAAAAAAAGAATGATATCCTTTCTAATAACTTGACACTGAAGCTTCTGTTTAGACAAAAAGGATTGACAGGTCACATTTATCTCCTCATGAAAACTCACTAATGTAGGAATTCTAAATATATAAAACCCCATGAGGTCAAAAAGAACAAGAGAGCAAATCACTGCAGTGGAGAAGCCTGGCTCCTCACTTCGCCAATTTACAACACAATGCCTCCAGGGGGCATGGCTGACATGAAAAATAACTGTTTCCACAGCTCTTGGAAACTTAAGTCATTGAAGAAGCAGAGGTAAGATGGGGAGCTGAAAACAGGAGTTGCTATAAAAGTTTGTATTTTGTATAAAAGTTTGTCACTTCCTTACAACCGATTGAGGTCCTCCGTATTGACAAAATGCAGGCGGCTCCCGTGGCCAGGCCCACGTCACCAATGCAAACCTGAAACGGAAAAGCCTCACCCTCACGGCCAAAGAAACCTAACACACACCAATGACAATCCTCCAGCTCTGCTGCAGTTGAGTTTACCTTGGCTTAGAAAAGCGGGCTTCTCAGCCAATCACGCCCGCTCTCTGTGCCGCCTCTCCTCACACTCTAGGAAACGCGCTTACCCAAAATCCCTCGGGAGGTGGCAAACCCTGACCTTCGTCTCGCGAGGCCCCGCGAGGCTCCCAGCTCACGGGTTGTTTTCCCTTGGATGAAGGACATCAAACTCATTACAAAGTTATTTCGTTTCCACTTGAAAGTTTCAGTGGTGAGGTCGGTTGCAGGCTGCTGAAGTCTCAGTACTGCTCCTAGACGCAGGTGAAGGGACCCACAGGCTGTTTCCGTTGCTCTCCAGGGATCTGCGGTAAGTTTTTCTAGGTTCTAGCTCCGCTTATTTTGCGTTCTGAACGTTTGAAGTTTGTTTACCCTAATCCTTCTGGATAAAAAATTGGAGTGTGAGAGAATCCAGATTTTCATGGTGAGACTTAGTAGGCCACAATATTTGGGTTTGTGGCCGATCTCATCAATAAGGTAAGCTCCTCAGGGAGGATCTGACGGATCTCAGAAACAAGAAGTCTGGTTTTATTAGGGAGAATTGTTTCAACAAAGGGAAATAATTGGTACTCCTGAATTTTGGAAAGGAAAGTGACAGCCTTTAGGTAACTTCAAAGCCACAGAGTAAGTGCACAGTATGAACTGCTGTGGGGGGTCTTTGGGGGGATATAAGGTAGGAAATCCAGACTGTTTTAATCAACAGCATATCAAAATCTAAGTAGGCATAAATTAGAGTATTAAAAGCTCACTGTAAAGAAGTCATCTCTTGAAAGGCATAACGGGTCTGTTGGTAATGCAAATGTCAGAAGCCAAAGCCACAAAATTGGTGGCCAGGTGTCAAGCATTTAAAAGTTATTAGAGCACTTGCCACCTAACTGTAAACTCCTGTGCTAGGATAAGTTGGTCATGGAATGGGTTAGGTTGATACTGGGTCACTAGCTAACCTCAAGAAAATTTCTGTGCTGATAGGTACACTGTAAAATACTATAAAATCCCCATCCCTGTGGCACATCCATCTTAGGTATGTGCCAAGAGACCCAAGGCTTAGCCAAAGAAATGGGATCCTCAAGTTTCAAAGAACTGAGCACACCACATTCTGGCACACCTGCTTCCTTTGCTAAGAACCATGTTCCCAGAATTACAATGGCCTTTACAGGAAGCATTCCAATTAGATAAGATTTTTCATCTGAGGAGTGCACTTAAAAGTGAGAATACCCAAATCAGACAAATGCAATGAGAAACCTATTTTGATGGGCATGCATAAGTTTCCAAAAGACTTCAGGATTACAGAATAATAATTTCATTGAAAGATTCATAGCAAAAGAGTAATGAAAAGTTAAAGACCCAAGAGATACCTTAACAACAAAAAAAAGACTATTTAGACTGATGTGACTGTTACTACTCCCTTCTGCCCTCCTTTGCTTGAGTACTCAGTCTACTGTACCTCTATCTGAATTGCCTTTCCACTCTGAAGAGACCACAAGACCGTAAATAAGTCATTGACCTTACAGACACTTCACTCCAAGGAGGGCCTTCATGTGGGCCTCTCTCAGTGTTGACAGGACTCTTGAGGGATTCTCCAGTAAACTGCTACCAGCTATTCCCTTAAACTGCAAAAGGGAAACTAAAAATTAATTGAAAACCTTGCTAAAGTCAGGTAGATACCAGAACTACACTCTCTACTTTAAATTGGGTGTAAGCTCTGGCTCTAAAGGTTTGCCTTCTGGAGAAACACAATACTTGGAAACTACCAGCATAGAAAAGGGCATGACCAGGCCTGAGGCCATAAACAGGATTTAGTAAAAAGTAGAAACCAAGTAGCCATTTCCCACCCTCTCAGGGCATAAACACTGCAATCTGGTATGTGTCCTGCAGCAGGAAATAGGATGCCACTGAAGACAGACTCCTTGCAGATCTTCCCACTGTAAAGGCGTCCAGTCAACCAATTCTATATGGAGAGCTTCCTGTCAACCTCAAGTGTCTCAATATTAAATGTAATAGGACAGTAAAGGACTATCAGATGTTTAAGAAAAGCCACTAACATGAAAAGCAAGAGGCCAAAACCAACAAATTAGAAAATTGTTAAAAGGAAGCCAGTGCACAAAGTAGATTAAGTAAAACAAATTGCCATATAAAGAGTTGAGAAGATATTATATTATTATAGTAAGTGCTCAGCTCAGAGTAATGAGAGAAAGAGAAAAAGGACTTGGATAAAATAAAAACATTTAATTAATGAATTGAAAGGTGAAATTGATAAAATTTTGCATCATGGGGGTGCCTGACTCAGTCATACTACTCTTGATACTGGGCTTGTAAATTCAAGGCCCATGTTGAGTATAGAAATTACTTCAAACTTTTTTTTTTTTGCATCATGTCTCCAGACTAGAAAATGAGTCCTGCAGAGGTAGGACACTCAAGGAACAGAGAAGCAAGACAGAGATTTGGTTCAATTTGGCCCTTTCTTAGGAGAACTGGCAGCTAGTATTTTGCAATGTATATAAAAATTTAACTGATAATAGTGATAATTATTAATTATTTAAATATAATTGATACACATTAGTTTCAGTTTTACAACATGTTTGTATATTTGTGAAATGATCACCACAATAAGTCAAATTAATATTTTTCACATTACGTGGCTACAAAAAATTGCTTTTTCTTGTGATGAGGACTTTTAATGTCTCTCAGCAACTTCCACATATGCAGTACAGGATTATTTACTGTAGTCACCATGCTGTACATAACATACCCATGACTTTTTAATTTTATAAATAGAACTTTGTACTTTTTTGCCTCCTTTACCCATCTTGTCCCCTACCCTCCCTCATCCTACATGTCTGGCAACCACCCATCTGTTCTGTGTACCTATAAACTTGGTTTTATTGGTTTTTAATTCCACATATAAGTGAGGTCATATAGCATTGTCTTTTCTCTGACTTATGTCACTTAGCATAACATCCTCAAGAGCCATCCATGTTGTAAACAGCAAGATTTTGTTCTTCTTTATGGCCGAATAGCATTACACTGAGTGGTGTGCGTGTGCGCATGCGTGTATGTGTATCTATGCATATCACATCTTCTTGAGCCATTCATTCACATAAAGACACTTTGGTTGCTTCCATGTCTTTATTATTGTAAATCATGCTGTGCTGAACTTGGGTGTGCATATATATATATATATATATATATATACACACACATATATATGTGTATATATGTGTATATATATATGATATATATATGTTGATAAATACTCAGCAGTGGAATTGCTGGATCATATGGTGGTTCTATTTTTAATTTTTTTAAAGGTTTATTTTATTTTATTTTTTTATGTGAGAGAGAGTGTGCGTGCGTGCATAAGCGGGTGAGGAGCAGAGAGAGAGATACACACATAGAATCTGAAGCAGGCTCCAGGCTTGAGCTGTCAGCACATAGCCGTGCACAATGCTCGAACCCATGAACCAGGAGATCATGACCTGAGCCGAAGTCGGATGCTTAACTGAGTGAGCTACTCAGGTGCTCCAGTATATATTTTAACTCTAAGAAAAAAAAGGTAGTGTACGTAGTGGTTTAAATTTCACTAGTGGTCATTTTATACTTACACTCATTGCTAAATGTAATGTGCTAATTCAGTTTTTTATTAGGAGTTTTAAGAGTGAGTAAGGATTTAGTGATGTCTTAAAGTTGAGATTGCATTTTACCATAAGTAATTGAAAATTAAATTATATTTACTTATAGAAATAGGAGTTTATTTTTCTTATAAAACAAATCTGGAAGTATGTCATGGCTGGTGTTAGTTTAGAGAAGTCCAAGGGGGCCAATGTCACTAATATTATCTTGGTCTTTCCCTATGGTCTTAAGATGACTTCTCAAGTTGTAGTTATAAAAGATTTGTGGTCAAGGAAGGAGTCATCTAAAGGATTAACAGGAATGAGATCTTGTATGGAAGTAGCTAGCATTAACCCAAGTGAAATGAGCAATTTTCCCTCTTGTTACCTTCTTACATCATCTACCTAATTTGAGATGTATACACACACACACACACACACACACACGTGTACATATCAGTTTATTAGATTTGTTTTGTCAGGAATTTTGTGGTTTTCTATCTTTGCTTTCAGAAGTTATCTTTCAGATTTAATGTTTACAATAAGTTTTATAAAATTATGTATAAAAATTACTTAGAGAAAACTTATTTAAGTGCTCATGTGATGATTTTTAGTTGTGTTTTTGAAATACCACTTGTGAATTGTATTTTGTATATTCCATGGTGTTAATATTCCCATGCTGCTGTCTCCAAATTTTGGGGTCTCTACCTTATTACCTTGATAGCCTAGGAAAAATTCTCAGTATTAGAAAACAAAAATGATCTTCCACCACTAAATATTGTTGTGAAATCTTTGGCCACTCTTGATTTTTGTTTGGCTAGTTTTTCTGTCTGAATACTTCTAGATTATTTGATTAAAAAAATTCCAGGGGCGCCTGGGTGGCTCAGTCAGTTAAGCGGCCGACTTCGGCTCAGGTCACAATCTCGCGGTCCATGAGTTCGAGCCCCGCGTCCGGCTCTGGGCTGATGGCTCAGAGCCTGGAGCCTGCTTCCCATTCTGTGTCTCCCTCTCTCTCTGCCCCTCCCCCATTCATGCTCTGTCTCTCTCTGTCTCAAAAATAAATAAACGTTAAAAAAAAAAATTAAAAAAAAAATTCCACCTATTTTAAGGGTGGTGACCTATTTTTACTTTGAGAAATATCAATGAGCTATTACCATTTATAAGTTTTAGTTCTTTTTAAAAGCACTGTTTTTTAAAAATCTGTTTTAATTTGTTTATTGTTTCTGCTCTGTTAGTTCTGGTTACTTCTAGATGTTGCATCACCATTTCAGGATTTCTAACAACTTCTCAGCTATTGTTTTTATCTTGTTTCTTTACTTCACATGCTATGAGTGGTTCTCAACTTTTCTTTTAGTTTTCTGATTTTATTTTTTGTAGCATTCAGTTCTTTATGAATCTAAATTTGATTTTAATATGGCTTTGTGTTAATTACCTTCCAATGTTTTTTTTCTTGCACGTGATCTTTACATGCATTCTAATAACTTTGTTCATTTCAGCTTGTTAATTTATCTCATTTTTCATATTTATCTCTTCTTTGACAAATTCTCAGAATTCTAAAAATTTAGTAATTTTAGTAGACTTGTTGGGTTGTATTGAACTGTGATCCTCCTTTACTTCATGTTCTAGAATCTTATCATGTGCAAATCTATGTAACTAGACCAGTAGTCCACAGTGTGGTTTGGTGTGGAGGCTGCTAACAAGTATAGAATAGTAGCAAAGTTAGTAATTCCCTCTGACCTCCACCACCATTCAGGAAATGAAATGTGTGTGTAAGAAATGCTTTCAGGTTTCTATTGGGGAAGAGAAGATATTAGAAGAGATATGTGAGTTTTATTTATGTTAGGAAATAAGAATAAGGATTAGTAAATTGTGTTTATAATGTCCCTGGAGATTCTGTCATAAATCCAGTACCTTTATTCTGTTTTGATTTGTTTAAGGGATGATACCATTAATGATAAACAGGTATCCATTAAGTTTATTTTTATGTATTATTCCACATACATTTTTATAATGAGAATGTCTATCTTGTGTTAGCTGAGTCAGGTTCTAGATTATTTCTCTTTTTGTTATTATGCTTAGAGGTATAGTCCCAACTTCAAATAAGAATATTGACAGATATTTGCTTTTACTTCTATAGTTTCAGGTTTTGCATCCTGTATCTATATTTACTTATCCATAAGGTGATAAGGTGGTCAGGCTTAACCTTTTTTCCTATTTAAACAACTCATAATTGCCATGGTCCTTTATATTAGTGTGTTATGCCTCATAATTTATATGTATTTTATATTAATATTGTTACTAATACTAAATGATTCCTTGAAAAATGTTTGAACTCAAGACAAAGTTGAGGAAAGGGCATTGTGTATTATTTTTTTCCAAATTATTCTACTTATATGATACAGTTCTAAGGTCACAGTGCTTAAAATAAACTCTGCTAGATTAAATAAAACTTTTAATTATAGTGCCGTTCATACAATATCTCTAATCAGAAGCCTTTTTCAGGTTTATACAAAGGTGCTCTGAACATGCAGTTTTAACCTCTACTGATTCAAGGACTCCGTCATCATCCCATTTTCCAGGGTGAGGTGATTTCTAATTACTACACATCCTGGTGTTTAATTTCATGTGATAAGCTTGTAACTAATAAGTAAATATGCCTGCTTGTTTCTGAGAATTAAATAATTTGGATAGAATTAAAAAAAAAGATTTAAGAAATGAAAAAGGTGAATTTCAGAAAGCCAAGCATACTTTAAATGAGGTTTACTCTAATTTTCCTGCTTGCAAAAAAAAAAACAAAAACAAACTCCTCTTTTGCCCTTTCATAACTGATATAAAATAGATTTAAATGGAAAAAAATACAACCATTTGTTGTTGGTTTATAATAGTGTTTTTAAAAAATCACAGAAAATGGGCCAATTAGTTTTTCCAAAATATATTATAATGGGGCAAATATGTGCTATGTTATCTAATGTTTTTTATTTTATTTTTTGATAGAGTGAGGCATTTAAGATCTTCAAATAAGTGTTCAGAGTCAAACTGAAGCATAGCTTTTACTATACCTCTTTCAGAAAATATTTTTTTCAAAATCATTCCTTCTGTGTATATTTTTAAAGATACAAGATATATCCTACCTAAAGATAAGATCTGCTGATTAATGAACTTTAAATTTATGATGAATGGTGTAACTTCAGATTATCAGTACTATAACATTAACAAAATACTCTGTGTGTTATTTGTGAAGTAGAGGTGTGCTATTACTGTTGAAGGAGTCGGGCGAATTGCAGTCTGTTTAAGAAATGCACATTATATTCAAGTATGGCTTGGTATTCCCTTGCTGTTCACTCTTTAGAGTGCAAAAAGTGGTTTTTGCTAACTCCATTTTGCTGCTCATGGAAAGCTGAAAAATCAATAGCTGCAGGTTGATGAAACCTAAATCCATTTGATTCCTTTCCACCAGTGCCATTATGCAGACAGTCAAGTGTGATGTATTTAGTTCATGCAGTACTTATTACTCTCAAGCACAGCTTCTCATCAGGGAAAAATTAGACCAGATGAGAAGTAATCAAGAAATTCTGGAGAGGTTGCAAAGATCTTCTTTTTAACTGCTTCCTTTTTTTTCCTCTCTGTCTTTGACTCTCATAGTCTGCAAAAAAGAAAAGTTAAGATCTCCACCACAAAGCTCCAGAAAGTTCTGTAGAAATGTTTTGTGTCACCTTTTTTTTTTTTTTTTACATCAGTATTTGTTCTTAGTAACAGTCACAATAAAGAACACTAGCTGGATAAATGCCAAATTAAGAAAAATTCCCCCTTACTAGAACTATTAGAGTCATCACTTTGGCAGAGTTGAACAAATAAAAAACTGCTAGAACTGATTTTGACATTTCCATTTTTTCTTAATAGGCTATTTAATAGGTAGACAGCTAAAAGTAGTTGTATAATCTGGAGGCTCAGAGCATGGTCTTTGGCAATCCCTTTCTGTTAATTACTAGCTTGATTAATCTTGAACACATTTTCCTCTCTGATCATCAATTTTATCATTTATGTAAGGGAATTATAATAATATCAGCCTCAGAATTTTGGAAAGAGAATAAAATGGGTAATCAATATAAAGCATTTAACACCATAAACATTCAATATGAATTATTTGTTAATATTAATCCCTTACATGGCAATGATTGGATATGAATATGCAGCAACTCTTTTTCTACTTTAACAATGTTTTAGATATCTGACTTGAAAGTTACAGATATTTGACAAAATCTCCCATATTACATTGCTGTAATGTATATATTACAATGAATAATGAAATGATCATCTGGTCCAACCTCCTGCTTTAGTAGTTAGAATGCTAAAATGACAGTTTACGTGATTTGCCTGAGTGCAAAACATCTATGCTTGGTGAAGATGCAAGACTAGAACTTGGATGTCCTTGCTTTCAGAAGTGCCTTTTTTTTTTTTTTTAAATGACTGTTTATTTTGAGAGAAGGAGAGGGCAAGTAGGGGAGTGACAGAGGGAAAGAGAATCCCCAGCAGGCACTGCACTGTTAAGCACAGAGCCCAACATGAACCCATGAACTGTGAGATCATGACCTGAGGCAAAATCAAGAGTAGCACAGTTAACCCACTGAGCCACCCAGGCGCTTCTCAGAAGTGTCTTTTTCTTTTATACTCACATCTGTGAATTTATCTAGACTTGCTTTTCAGACATGGGTAGACAAGTTAAGCTCCAAATTACGGAAACTACAATTTAAGGTAAAAACTTGGTCACAGAGATATACATAAAGATCACCCTTACTAGAAGTGATACTAGTGGCTGACTACTTGGAATGAATTAGCAGCTGGCAAAAATCTGTGAACAATGGAATGAGAGCCATTGTGGTGGGCAAAGACACCTGGAAAGCTTTGAAACTGTCCCAGTGCTATCAGACAAAATAGTAAAATAAAGCAGAAATCTATCTCAGGAAGAAATTAATCTACCTTCTTAGACTTAAAAGAAGTGAGAGTTGTGGTCTCTCTCATTTCTATGTTTATTTCAACTATGTTGGTTTTGCAGAAACCAAATGGATTGTAACAAATGGTAGTGGATTATCATAATTTCAACCAGTTGTTAGCCCCAGTCACATTTGTAACCCTGTAAGAGGTATTTTTACCTAAATGTATCAAGACAGCCTTGGACACTGAGTATACTGCTATTAACATGATAAATGCATTCTTTCTACTCTCCTCAGTTGAGAGGACCCAAAGCTGTTTGCATTTTGTGAAAAGAACACAGGAACATATTATTTTGACCGAAGGATAGGTCAATGTTATTTTCTTTTCTCTGCTCAAAAATAATCTGCAGTACCTTGATTATTCTGATATTTTGCAGAACATCACACTGGCTCACTGTTTTAATTATATCATGAAAATTGAACCTAGTGAGCAGGAAATGGTGTTATATTTAATATGTCATGCTAAGACATATGGATATCTGTTTATGGGAAATAAACTCTACAAAAATTCAGAGACATGACATATTAGTGAAAAATTTTAGGTTATTTGGCTAGAATGGTTGGTACATAATGGGGGCAAGGTGGAATGTATCCAGCATTCAGGGGATATACTGGATTGTCTCTTGGTACTTCCATGCTTTCATAGTGACCATAGCTCTAACAAGAAGAGGGACTCATTAAGGAGGAATCAACCCACCATGAAAGCAATCTAGAACAGCTCAATTGCTGATTCCGGCTAAGAAAAATCTAGAATGTATGGCGTAAGAGGACAACAATGAATATAAAACAGTGACAAATACAGTTTGTTCCCATAACTTTATATAAAAACTAGCCACTATTTGAAAACTCAGTGACAAAAAAGACTTAAATGGTGCATGTGGTGGATAATATCAGAGGCCTGGGTTGCCTATCTTTTTTTGTCTCACATAATTGTAATTAAGACTTTGTGGACAGTTCTGTATGAGTTTTGATACACCTGGTGCCAATTGTAACTTGTCTGTTTCAACGCTTCTGCAGAACTGATGACATAAATGGATTTATTCCAACATTCTGAATAGTAATCTGAAAACAAAAGCAATTAGTGCCCTTCAAAACAACCTTTAAAGACGCTGGTGATAGGAGCAGATGCAGATGCTCCCTGTGATTAACTCCTAGAAAACTGCTTGTTTCTGAGTTCTTATTTCAGGCTCTGTTCCATGGGTTTCCCAGACTAAGATATCCTCTAAGAGTAAATCTAACTGCATGATTATAAGAGGTACATATTTTTGTAAAGCAATTATATCACAAGTTCACCTGATGAATAAAAAGTTCTTTCAATTATGAGAGCCACAATTTTCATGATTTTCTTTTTATTTAATTTTTTTTGTGTTTATTTATTTTTTGAGAGACATAGAGCACAAGTTGGGGAGGGGAAGAGAGAGAAGGAGACACAGAATCTGAAGCAGGCTCCAGGCTCCGAGCTGTCATCACAGAGCCTGACACGGGGCTCGAACTCACAAACCGTGAGATCATGACCTGAGTCAAAGTCGGGCACTTAACCTACTGAGACACCCAGGCTCTCCTTTATGGTTTTTTGATACAACTATTTTCTATAATTGATTATATGGAGAGATTATATATAATTATATATTATATGTACAATATATAATGTTTACTTCCTATTTATTGATCTCCACTATATATTTTATTTTTATTTTTATCTGTTTTTAAAGTTTATTTTGAGAGAGAGAAAGAGAGAGAGAAGAGGGAGAGAGAGAGAGAACAAGAGAATCCTAAGCAGGCTCCCTGTTATCAGTGCAGAGCCCAATGTAGGGCTCCATCCTTGCCTTGGCTCATAACCTGAGCCTAAACCAAGAGTCAGATGCTCAATCAACTGAGCCACCTAGGCATTCGTACCACTGCACATTTTAAATAAAGTTTTTTTCTTCCTTTGAGGTGGTTCCATCCAAATCAGTACCACTTTTGCTTTATTTTTTTTTTTCTACCTTCACTTTCAATACTCCCCTATCTTTGAAATTTAAAGAACTGTGTTACATCATAAATGAATTAGGGAAAAACAGAAAGGCCCAGAACTTAGAAATGTAGTTCTGGAATCATGGGGGAATTAGATTAGGGAATCCAAATGCTTTACTGTTTGAATAATATATTTGTATGATATTAAATTTAGTAGGATTAGACACATAAGAGAATTGTTAAATTCATGCACAGACTGACTTTAGTTACCTTTTATAGTGCATTATTACTGGAAGCACTCATATTATATTGTGAATCTCTGTGGCATGTATTCATTAGAGTCTTTTATTACATTTTCAAAAGCTAGAAATGCAATTTATATCAATTTGCTTTCCATACTTCTTAGGGAATTTGATTGAATATGAAAAATTCTACTGAGTTTCTGTATGATGTACTAGTAATTTGGATATATACCTGTACAACACACTTGTTAAAATGTCTAACACTTTCAGATAATTCACTAAAAATATGTATAAGGCTACCAATTCCTGCCAGCTTCACAGGGTCTAGAAATATTATTTCTGAATATACACACATATATAGGCACACAAACACACATAACTCTCTTGATTTTCT